TCAGTCCGGAGCTGCGGCATGGGGACGTCCGCGGGCGGCTGCGGGCGCAACAGGGCGACAGCTGACAGGGGAAGTGGCGTAGGCGGGACAGGGGACAGTTGCACGTGAGCCGGCCAGCGCCGGAAGTGACGTCGTGCTCCCACACCCGCAATGCGCCGCAGTCGGGGCACGCTGCGCCCGCCTCCGCTGGCGCGCACCGCGGGCACACCCATGCGCCTTGCCAAGCGGCTACGCCGCTCTCATGGCGCCGAGGGATTGGCGACCAAGGCGCGGCGCGGTGCGCAAGTTCGATGAAATCAGGATCGTTTTGCCGGGGGCCCGCGACGGCTGCCAACCTCCGGCAGCAGTTAACAACGACATGTGCCGGCGCCTGCAGTTCCGGGGCGTCCTGGCCAGTGAAGGTGCGGATCGCGTAGTCCGCGACGCTGGCCTGGTCGGTGCGCCGGTCCGGAAGACGAGACGGTGGATGAAGGCCCGCCTCGCGGCACCAAGCTGTCAGCTGGTCGTCATGTTCCGGGGCCCGCCCGCCACCTACGCACACAGGGCATGCCCCGTGATGGCACAGAGGACAGGCAACATCGCTGGGGCGGCGCACTTGGACGCGGAGCTGCGCCAGACAGCCAGGATGGAGGACGTGCCGCGGGCAAACTGGCAGGGGCGCCGGGCGTGCAGCGTGATGGCCGTCCGGGCGGAGGGGCTCTAGGCAGACGCAGCAATCGTCTGGTTCCGAGCGCGGATGCGAGTCGTCCGACGGCAAAAGAACGTGAGGCGGTGTGACTGCGGCGGGCTGCGAGGGCGCAGTGGCCCCGTCAAGCAAAGCTTCCTCCGGGCTCTCCCGCGCGCGCCGCCGAGAGGGGGTTGCGCTGCGCGAGCGCCCGGACATGAAGCAGTGGGGAACCACGCAAGCAACGCCGGCTGCGCTGTGAGTCGCGACTATGGCGCCGATGCAAGCGTAAACGGCAGCCCCGACTCTACCCAGCCAAGCCGCTCGGGTTACTCTTTTTGATCTCGCAACGTCCGGAAAAAGGGACTGAAGCTCAGCCAGCGGGACAAGGAAACTATGAGACTGCAAGTGCCAGTAGGGGCCGGTGGGTGAAAGCTAGTGAGACGCTCTTTTAGCCTCAGGGTAAAGCGCGGCCTCAGTTGCGAGCCGGAGGAAGGCTGGGAAACACAGAGGGCTGCCTGCCGAACAGTGAGCCTACCCGAAAAGAGGCGGGCAGAAATCAAGACACCGCCAAGCTGCTGACACAACACCCTAGCAAGTCGGCGATTTGGGCGGGCCTTAGTACCGCGAACCAGGAGCCGAGGCGGCCAAACGGAGCGGCGCCGAAGCTAGAAGTTGAGGGCCGGGCGACTGCAGCACACCTGAGAAAAGCGACAAAGTGTGCTTGCTGCGCGCTGCCAGGTGCTAAAGCAGGCCAGGCAGCGAGCAGGCCCCGAGGTGCCAGCGAGTAACCGAATTTGCAAACCTGCCGAAAACCACAAGCCGAGACGGCTGAACTAGCCGGCGGCGAGGCGAGAAACTGAGGCCGGGGCGGTTTGAGGGCAAACAACGTCTGCTTGCCATTGTCTGCCACGCGCCGAAGTAGGCTAGGCAGCGAGCAAGCCCGCGTTCACAAGGCGCGGCCGCCAGGGCGGGAGGCACCTAGGAACTGGCGCGGTAAGAGACACCCGCCTGTCGAACCCAGGGCGGCAAAAGGCGGGCGG